CGCGGCGGGGAGAGAGCGGGCTCGGCGTCGATGGCAGCGGCGGGGGAGGACGCGGCTCCTCCTGAGAGGGGAGAATAAGCCCTGAGGGAGGCAGGGTCAGTCCGTGCGCCCCGTCGCCGCGTCCCCTGCGGGGGACTTTGGGCCGGCCGTGCCGGGGGGGTCGGAGGGCAGAGCGGGCTGCCGCTGCCACCCTGGGGAAGGGGTCCGTGGGGGAGGACCGTGCGTGCCTTTAGGCGAGATTTGGGAAGGCTGGAGCAGCCTGGTGACCCCGCAGAGCGGCGCTTGCACTTACAGGACCTAAAAATGCCCGGAAGGGTCTCCTGTCCGTGCCTGCAGAGGGGTCCCCTTGGGCTGAAACGTGGTTTCGCGTGTGTAGACGAGCTGGGCCGTGTGACCATCGCCATAAAGTTGGTGATCCGTCCCGAGTTTCAAAGCCTGCTGTCCCTTTAATGTCTGGTTTGACAGCTTTGGGTGAGGAAGCACTTCCAACAGCTGTCTTCTTGGCAGTGCACCAAGCGCCGGCTTAAAGGGTCCCCGGCTGGAGCAGCTTCACCTTCTGCCTCAGAACAAACCCAGCGATTGTTTCGTTTTCCGGCTGCTTTTCTACCAAGCAGGGGCTGTGTTGTGGCACTGTGCATGCCTTTTGTACCGCAGCTCTACAATTCCGTCCAAAATACGTACATTCTGTCTAAAAACTCTTCACTGCCGTTATGATGATGTGGGTGGTAGCCCCGCTTTGATTGAGAATTTGAAGGTTTTTTTCAAAACCCTTATTAAAACTTTCAGAAATCACAGTTCCTCAGTCATTTCATGTGTATTACATACTTTTCCAGATCTATATCTGACTACACATGGTGGGCACACCCTGTTTTTGCTATCAGTTACTTCACTGCTGGTTTACTGTATTTTGTCAATAAATACATCTGGCTTGATACTTGTTCAGCGTATTTTCTGTGAGAATAACGTCTGTTCTATTTTCCATTTTCTCTTACCAAAAGATGATGAAGATGAGGAGGAAGAGGATGAAGAAGAAGAAATAGATGTTGTGACAGTGGAGAAAAGACGCTCCTCCTCCAACAAGGCTGTTACCACCCTTACTATTACAGTGCGTCCTAAGAATACCACTTTTCCATCAGTCAGGACACAGCAGAATGAACTGATTTTAAAGCGTTGCGCACCAATTCACCAGCAGCATAATTATGCCGCTCCTTCTCCATATGTGGAGAGTGAAGATGCTCCACCACAGAAAAAGTTAAAAACCGAGGTGCCCCGTCCAGTAAAACCTACGATCCAACCAAAGTCAAAGAGTTCAAGTCCTCGAAACTCTGATTCAGAGGATAGTGAACGTCGACGCAACCATAATATACTGGAGCGTCAACGGCGTAATGATCTGCGGTCAAGTTTCCTCACATTAAGGGACCATGTTCCAGAACTGGTTAAAAATGAGAAAGCTGCAAAAGTTGTGATTTTGAAAAAAGCCACTGAATATGTTCATTCCCTTCAGGCTGAGGAGCAAAAGTTATTGCTAGAAAAGGAAAAATTGCAAGCCAGGCAACAACAATTGCTAAAGAAAATAGAATACAAGCGGACTTGCTAAACTTTTTTTGTTCTTTTTTTTTTGTTTTTTTTTTGGCTGACCAGGACAGTCATTGCCACTTTGCACATTTTTGATTCTTTAAAAAAAAAATTGTGTTTTTTGACGTTAAGAATGTTGGTTTTACTTTCAATCCAGTCCCTGAAGTAATCGACAAACTATATTATCCGGGTACGGAGCAAATGGATGTTCTTGCAAGGAGCTGATTGCAAGACTACCAAACAACAATGGACTGCCTTTGTTTTTCTTAAGAACTGTAGATGGTGGGGATTTTTTTTTTTTCAATTGTTGTGAGCATTTGGAGCTGCTGATGACATCTAGTTGAGTTTTAAAACGTTCATTCCTAAGTTTTATGGTGCTTATGTTCTAACAGATGTTACTTTAGGGGTTGGCATTTTGTACCCCTGTGGGAATTTTCTGTAAATACCATCTACACACTTGCCTTTTGTACATGTCTTGGGTTATGAGAGGTGGCTTTTGCTACCAGTATTAGACTGGAAGTTCATACCTAAGTACTGTAATACCTCAATGTTTGAGGAGCATGTTTTTGTATACAAATATATTGTTAATCTCTGTTATGTACTGTACTAATTCTTACATTGCCTGTATACTTTAGTATGATGCTGATACATAACTAAATTTGATACTTATATTTTCGTATGAAAATGAGTTGTGAAAGTTTTGAGTAGATATTACTTTATCACTTTTTTGAACTAAGAAACTTTTGTAAAGAAATTTACTATATATGCCTTTTCCTAGCCTGTTTCTTCCAGTTAATGTATTTGTTCATGTTTGGTGCATAGAACTGGGTAACTGCAAAGTTCTGTGTTTTAATTTCTTCCAACGATGTACATTTAGTGCTGCGTCTTATAGCACTTTGAAATACCTCATGTTTATGAAAATAAATAGCAATTACATAATGTGCCATTTACTTTTTCTTTTAAATTAAGTTCTTACAAATATCCTTAACTTTGCAATGTACAGAAAGTACAAAAATGTCGTCCCATATGCTAGGCAGGACATTTCCATTTCTGGTTTAAAAGTAATTGTAGTGAGAACAATTTTCCTATTCTTTCATGCTTTCAGATGTTTCTTGTGAAGTCAGGATCATCCCAGGGGACTGAATGTACCACAGTTAATGGAAAGACTTCTGTGTCTTGTGAAGACTTTCTGGAATACTCTCACTGTATGCAGAGAATTGTAAGGGATCAGAAACGGCCAGCATGCTTCTGCTAAGGGCCTGGCCAGTGTGGTAGATGGGTGGAGAAGTAAATAATGGAGGTACACTTGCTACAGCACAGAAAATTACATACTTGTAGTAAACAAAGGTCTTGCCTGCTGTTCTTGTTTGCATTACAAAAGGCTTAACCTCAAAGGGGTCCATCATTGCATAGGAGAATTAATGTTCTTGTTTTTAGCTGAAAATCCTGTGTGTTACTACTTGTGCTAAGTTAGTAAAACTAAAAACCCCAGGGAAGATGCAGAGCTCTGAAGCATCCATCAAATAACAATGAATCTTGGCAGGTGGTTGTCTCAAGAGGTGTGATGGTGGTTCTTTTATTTTCTAGTCTGTACAGGTATTTCTGACATTGTCTTCCCCACAGTGAATTTGAAAAATTAGGTATGCCTTAATGACCAAATGGCCATTAAATAGTTTAAGGATAACTTGCAAGGAGCTAGTCTGGGACATCTGCCCCTACTTCAGCCACAAAGAAAGTAACTTGCTTGGTGATGGAGGTACAGAACATCTCTATTTTCCATGAGGTAACAGAGTTAAGAGCAGTTTGGACGCAAAATCACCGCAGTAATGGATGTGCCATATGTCTGCCCTACAGTAGCTTGTTGGTGTACCCATGACCTGTGCATTTTTGGGCCCCAGGCAGCTTCTCTACCAAGAACACTGGGAACTGTATTTACTAATATTTCACTGCAGTAAATCCAGATCCTTCATGGGCAAAAATGTTGAGATTCAACTAGGCCTACGCAAGTTTATGCCATTTGAAGAACTGGCCTGAATAGACTTAATAGCTGCTAAATTTGGACTTGAGGACCATGATCATTCCATAGAATCTTAGTTTTCATCACCTTAATGTGGACTTGATCATGCTTCTTCCACTTTCCCAGTACAGTGAAAAACCAGTAAAAGACAAAGCCTGAGCAGAGACAGTTTGTGTGGACAATCACAGGGTACATTTAATTTTACTAGCTACAACAAAGTTTTCAACCCCCATTTTATTTTCAATTTTTGTTGAAGTGCTGTTGTACTGTTTTCAAACAAGGTACAAGTCACATGAGTCTTGAAGGAGAAGGGAAGCTTTTCAAACATCCATTGTGTTTTATTTCTAACCTGTGCATGCTTGTCTTCCAGCAAGAGCTTCTTAACATGAGTTTACAGTTTAGAATTAGTATAACATTTTAAAAAAAAAAGTTACAGCTGTATACTGGCCAAATACATTCCTAGCAGATACAAATCATGTTTTGAATAAAAATCAGAATGATCTGTCACTGTCTCTTTACAGTCTAGGAATGTATTGACTGAGGATCGAACATGCAAAATTGAACAGAGATGAGTCTGGCTCCACCTTCTCTGTAACCTCCCATTAGGTAGTCGAAGACAGCAATTACTTCTCTTTTCTCTTCTTGAGACAACCCAGTTCTGCCTTGTATTGTTGTGGTATTCGAGCATTTAGAGTATAATAAAGGTGTCAAATACTCTGTTTTGTTTGGATATTCACAAATCCCATTTGAAAGCCTCTTTTCCAGTGTGCAAGTCTTGGTCTGATCCTTTTGAATTAGTGATAAAGGTCTAACTGATGTCAATGGAGATAGAATCTGGCCCCATATGGTTCAGAAATACTCCCATACTGTACTGTACTGTTTGCTGCTATATATTGTACTACCAGTACTTTGGGTTTCTCTTCTTTTTTTTTTTCTTCAGTACTTTGGGTTTCTCTTTTTTTTTTTTAATATATTTGTTTTCATATTGCTGTAGGGAGGAAGTTGTCAAGGACAAATGTGTTTGTAAACAAAAATCTCAGTTGTAGGATGTTATTTAAGGTACAGTTGTTAAATAGAAGATAGTGTTTTTTCATTCTTTTGTATTCACATGATAAAAAGAATTGAGAAGTGTAGGAAAGATAAGTTTTGGAAAGAAGAGGTAAACAATTCATTTAGTAATATTTTCTGAAAAGTCAGTACCCGAAAGGGTACATAGAGGACGGAGACATAGCCACAACAGTAACAAAAGATCCTTCTGCACGTGTATCTCCAGTGAAGGGTCCATGACGACTCAGTCAAATAATAAATTGAGATAATATTCCTTTTTTTTAAATATACATACCTACATTTGCATAACAAATGCAAACATAGCTGTCTGGAGAATCTGTTAGAAAATATGTCAAGCACTTAATAACTGCTTATTAAAAAGCGGGTATTGCCAATTCCTGAAGGGAAAACTGAATGAGATTGATTGCAATCTTATCTGATCTGCTATAAAAATTCCCAAGTTCTTTTTCATAGAAGACAGAATCTGCTGGTGGAATCAGATGGTTTCCTCCCAAATCACATATGCCAGAGGATGATCTCCTTTCACGTTTCTGATTATTTTCTTAAAAATACCACTAAGAACACAAGGATCTTGAAACACCAAAATGAAATGATTCCTCCATAAACTAGTGTAAGTAAAACACCAGTGGGAGAGCTTAAAAAGGTGAAATGTGTTAATGATGTCATTACCACTAGGTCACCTGTTGCTACGAGTGTGAAGAAAAGTGCATTTCTTAAACCCCAAGCTGCTGTTATAGCAACTTATCACCAGGTCTTGGCATGACTGCTTGAGAGTTCATGATGTGTATAATTTGCAGAGGGCACATTTGCTCCTGGTAAGTATACTGATAAACCAAGCTAGCATAAAATGACTTTAAAAGGATTCCATTCTTAAGCCAGAATTTCCTGGCTTGTAGCTGGTTTAAATCAGAAGATTTAATTTTATTTAAAGTTTTAAGTTCGGGATCATTAATTTAATGACTTTTTTATGTACCATGTTGTTTATCACACTCTTGGCAAGTGCTTCATGATTTATACCTGTATTCCTTTCTTTTCCTTGTCTCTGTTTCCCCTTTTTCTCCTTCCCCTTTCTCTTCCCTTTTGTGCCTAAACTATATGTGGTGTCTCTTCTCTTAGGAGCCCAAAGCCATCAAATTTAAGGGATTTGGGGTGTCACAATGACCCCTTTAAAGTAAGCAGGGATTTCATTAGAAACCCACAGCACTCCCAGAAATCTCACAGGAAAGTAATGGTGCAAACATGGAAGAGAAGCTGACTATAGAGCAGAGCACCATCTTGTCTCAGCAATTGCCTGAATTTAGAGCCCTTGGTCTGTGCCCGGACGAGTCTGCACTTCTGCTGGGCTACCTTTTCCAGTCTGCCACCATAGCTAGTTTTTGCTGCCTTCTGCTTGTGCTGACCCTGAAAGGAGGCTTAGTCACAGCAGAACAGGCATTTTGCTGTTAGGTTGCATGAGGTGATAATTTCCCCTGCTTTGAAGAAAAACCATTGAATGGGTTGGGTTGGAAGGGTCCTTAAAATCATCTAATCCCAACCCCCCTGCCATGGGCAGGGACACCTTCCACCAGACCAGGTTGCTCAAAGCCCCGTCCAACCTGGCCTTGAACCCTTCCAGGGAGGGGGCAGCCACAGCTTCTCTGGGCAAACTGTTCCAGTGTCTTACCACCCTCACAGGAAAGAATTCCTTCCTTTTATCTAATCTAAATCTACTCTCTTTCAGTTAAAAGCCATTGCCCCTTGTTCTGTCACTATATATCCTTGTAAAAAGACGCTCCCCAGCTTTCCTGTAGCCCCCTTTAGGTAATGTAAAGACTCTATAAGGTCTCTCCAGAACCTTCTCTTCTCTAGACTGAAGCCTGACTCTCTCAACCTATCTTCATAGGAGACTTGCTCCAGCCCCCTGATCATCTCTGTGGCCTCCTCTGGACTCACACCAAGAGGTCCATGTCCTTCTTATGCTGGGATCCCCAGAGCTGGACTCAGTACTCCAGACTACACATATATCTGTGATTCTCATCCAGCTCTGTGCCCCTACTGGCCAGATCCTTCTTTCAATTAAATTAATTAGATACAGATTTGATCAACATTTGACCCAGAGAAGAAAAAATGGTATCTTCATCTCTGAGCTGTGAAGATTCATTGTATGCATCCTGTATAGACTGATATACATGTTGCATGCACACAAGGAATTCCATTTGTGTTGATTCATGAACTCTGGTAAATAAAGACAAGTGTGTATTTTAAGAGTAACAGGACTGTCCACTTGGTCCTTTGAAGAAAAAACAAACAAAGGTATTTTGTTTTCTGTATTTATGATCACAATATGATGCACCTAAATAATAATGAATTTTTTAAAATGTACCTACAAAGTAAATACAATTTATAGCAAGTATTTTTTAACTCCATGATGAAATGGATGGGTGTGTAGACTTATCAGTCTTAAAATTTATCAGACATATAACTGAATTATGACCTATTTGTTACTGATCTCTCAACTGTTGAGTTACATTTCATATGTGTAATCATTGTTAGGCTCCAGTATTACAGCTGCTCTATTTGTGAGCTGTGTCATTTGCCATGATATAGTTCTTCCATCTGACATTATGTAGATAAGTGGAGACATTTTCATTTTACAGTAAAATAAGATTATTTCTTTTGTCTCATTCTCTCCTCCCAATTTCCCTAACTCATTTGTCTGTTTTAAGTATTTACTGCTTTCTATCTGCTTTCTATCTTCTATACTGCATGCATTTAGGGAGAAGAACTATCTTCTGTGATATCTGAAGCCGAGGATAGATTGTGTTCCTGTGAGTTGCTATATCGATCATTACCAAATTATGACAAGAGTTGTATTGTGC